TTATGCTGTCCCTTCCCCAGGCTGACACTCTTTATCTCCAACAAGCTATGTGGCTGGAGCTGACAGTTAGAGGTCTACAGAGAATTGCTCTCCAATGGCCTTGAATGCCAGGCTCAGGAGTCAGGCATTCGTCCCAAGAGCCAAGAGGAACCACGGAAGAGGAAGAACACTAGTGCTTTGGTATTTTAGCAGAATCACTCCAGCTGCAGTTTGGAACATGCAGGGGTCTTAGAGTGGACACTGAGGGACCAGGGAGAAGGCTATTCAGCTGTCCAGGTGAGTGGTGGGAGGGACAGAGGCAGAGGATCCGGAGAGGAAATGGCACCAGGAGACACAACCGAGGCAGAATCACTGTGATTCCATGACTGTCATAGCTGAGGTTTCCCAGAAGCATGCCCAAGACAGAGATTCAAGACTCAAGGGCAAGTACCTCATTTGGGAAGAGGCAGCACAGTGTGGGAAGGGAGAGGTAAGTCAGAGAAGGGGAGGTAGCCAATGAAGGGAGTGTTATCAGGCAAGTGACCACTGCAGAAAAGTGGAACTCATTCCCACTGGGCAGCTCCAGGAGTCCATGTAGAGCCCATGCCTCAGTTGTCCCACCTGAAGGGTGGAGGAGCTGGGGTATTTATACACCAGCTCCCCAACAGACACCGGTAGAGATGCAGCTGGTTTGGGGGTGGGGGTAGGGTTGTTAAGTCTCTGGCAATTCCTGCCAGCCACATGTGAGCAGAGCAGGCTCCAGCAGCTAGAGAACACCCTCCACCACCACCCCCCGCTGCCGCCTCCCACAAGGCTGCAGAAGCTGAGAGTCCCAAGTCAGTCTTGGGCACCACAGTGATGAGGCCATAGGAGATACAGAGTGGGGGCGGGGGGCACTCATAGTCACGTGTATGTGACTGTAGTGACCATAGTCGCTGTAGTGACCAACTGTTCATGAGGCCAGTATCAGGCTGTTGTTGAAAGACACAGAAACCCAACTCAAACTTAAGCAAAAAGTCTCAACTGTCATATGAGATCTTACCAAGATCTCAACAAAGGACTCCAGGCTGACACTCCGCCAAGCACACAGCCCTAACAGAGAGAAAAGCACCTCTTTCCGAAGAGTCCAGCCATTCCCAGGGCCAACTCTCATTGGCTAGGGAGGATCCTGTTCCCATCTCTGAGCCAATCAGTGCTCAGGGAGGCAGGGCTCTGATTGGCCAGACCTGGGTCATGTGTCCACTCTTGGGGTTCTGGGATAGGTCTGGCTCCACCTAAACTACAGGAAGTAGACTCGGGGGGAGGGGAGTGGATAATTTTCCAGGCACCCTGGGCATTGTTGTGAGGGAAAGACATAGAAAGTCAGAAGAGGGTAGAATTCAGGGTGGTGCCTAGGTGCCTGGCTTGAGTCCCACTGAGTGACCCTGAAGCATTTTGCTGATTTGGGGACACCATGTGCCCACTCAGAGCCCTGGGAGGCACTGACGTTTAAGGTGGAGTGGAAGGACAGACACGCGGGCCCCAGAAGTCAGAGAAAGGGACTTTTTTTAATAATGAGGGCCTAGTCACAGGAAGGAAAGAAGTTGAGAGTTTATTTGTGGTCATTAAATCATCTGGGTCTCTAGAGGACTCCCTGATGGTGGCAGCCCCCACTCTCCCTCCTGTAACCCTGGTGGCACCTCCAAGACGGACCCAATTCCCCCCACCAGCCAGCTGAGGGGCCTCATCAGCCAAGACCACCACCAGATTGTGGCCCACGGTTTGTACCCCAGGGAATGAGAGTGTGCCAGCATTTCACAATTCACTAAGCACTTGCCCGCTCTTTCCTTTCTCTTGGCCCTGTTTGACAAACACAGTCTGAGGCTTAGGGAGGCAGCCATGGTCCCAGGCTCACGTGGTCCTGTTGGGGCAATCCTGGATTCCTGGGGATCAGAGGCTCCTGTAATGAGATACTGAAGCCAGCTTGGGCCTTGGGCTGAGAGAACTGGGTGGGGGTGCACTTCAAGGCCAGCGCCCGGCCACTGTCTTCTGCTCCTGGTGACCAGCCCTCTCCACCTCCAGCATTTCTGGGGTGTCGGGCCCCTGCCAAGCCCACGAGCCAGCAGGGCTGTGTTTGCAAATCATGTCCTCAGTTTTCAGTATCTGGCCTTACTTGAGTGGGCATCGAGGATATATGGCTGCACATACAGTTCCCCAGCTAGAGAGACAAGGAGGCTGGCCCCTGAGCCCAGGGATCACTGCAGCCCTGAGGGGCTGTACGAAAGCCAAGAAGGGATATGGGGCTGGTTTTGCTTGAAATTGTCTTTGAGAAGAGGTTTGCCCAGAGGGAGCCGCTGCTAGCTGGAATGGAGGGGGATCCTTGACTTTCCGGAACCCTGATGGGGTGGCTGGCGTTGAAGTTACCTGTTTCGCCTTGGCTAGAAGGATCCCTCCCAGCCTTGGTTTCCCCATCCGTAAAATGGAGATAATGGCCTCCCACCTCTTGTGGCTGTTGTGAGGATATGGGGTAATGAAGATAAAGAGGTCAGTCAGGGGGCGCCTGGGTGGCTCAGTGGGTTGAGGGGGCGCCTGGATGGCTCAGTGGGTTGAGGCCTTTGCCTTCAGCTCAGGTCATGATCCCAGGATTCTGGGATCGAGCCCCACATCAGGCTCCCTGCTCAGCAGTGAGCCTGCTTCCCCCTCTCACTCTCTGCCTGCCTCTCTGCCTACTTGTGATCTCTGTCTGTCAAATAAATAAATAAAATCTAAAAAAAAAAAAAAAAGAGGTCAGTCAGTGGACGTCCTCTCCAGCTTGGAGATAGATGCTCTCCTGAGCCAGCTGGTGGGAGCAAAGATCCAAGGATGGACGTAACAATGCTCTGGCCTCCAGGATGGGGTCCGTCAGGCTCCTAGAGGCAAGGAGGGTGTCTGGCAGGGAGGCGGAGAACTTGAGCCAGGTGGACCCTGCCGAAGTCTCGGCTTAAGAAGGCTTAGGGAGAGTTGATCATGAAATATCTAGGTTCAAGGAAATAATCCTCAGATCCTTGAGGTTGTGGGGCTGGCCAGCTTCCCGCGACAGTTGCAAGGCAGTGCTGCAGAGGACTAGGAAGAGCTGTGGGTCCCTCACTGCACCTGCCACTGGACCCACTCTGTGATCCCGAGGCAGTTGTTGCCCTCTAAGGGCCTTGGTTTCCCCACCTCTATGATGGGAGTTTCACCAAGGCCAGTGTTTTTGACGCAGTGTTAGGTGGGATCTGGAATTTGCCTTAAGAGCTGCTCTGAGGGGTGAGAGGGAGTCTCAGACACCAGAACCCATTTGGTATATTAATTTCCTGTGGCTGCTGTGACAGATTTCCAAAACTTACTGGCTTGAAACAACACAGATTTATTATTTTACAGTTCTAGAGGTTATAAGTCTACAATGAGTCTCAGGACTGCAATCTTTCTGGAAGCCCTAGAGGAGAATCTGACTCCTTGCCTCTTCTGGCTTCTAACAGCTGCCCACATTCCCTGGCTTGTGACCCTCACCCCCCTCTGACCTCTGCTTCTATCATATCTTCATGCCTCCCTTTTAAAAAGACACATGTGATTAGGTTTGTACCCCTCCAGATAATCCAGAATAATCTCCCCATCTCAAGATCCTTAATCATATCTGCAAAAACCCTTTTAATATGTCAAGTAACATAATCAGAGATTTGGGGGATTAGGACCTGGGCAACTTTGGGAGCCATCATTCTGCCTACCACGCTTGGCTTCCACCAGAGCCTGTGCATTCTGACCTGGCCCAGCGCTCCAAGATCTCTACCCCTACTGCCCTTGTCCCCACTTGCTCTGTTCCAGCCACACTGATGGCTTTCAGATCCTCAGCACACCAGGCACACAGTCCAACAAGCCGTGGGACTCCTCTGAGTCGAGCTGGTGGTGCGTACAGGCCTTAGAAACCTCGCCAACCTCCCCTCTGCTTCGTGGTACAGATGGGGAGACTGAGGCACAAAAAGGAAAGGTACTTGCCCAGGTATTAAGACTGTTTTTTCCAGCATGGGCTTGGATGGAAGATCTAAACAGTCTAACTGTCTGATTTTACAGATGGGGAAACTGAGTCACAGCTCCACCTAAATGCCACCCCGACCCAGGGCCTTGTCCTGTCCACCCAGTCCTGAGAATGAGCCCCCGTTATAGACCCCACTGAGAACTGTTCAGGCTGACTGTCATTGATCTGTTCCAGCCGGAAATGATGAGCTAATGAGCTTATTGGCTTCTCTGCTGTTTGCAGCCCTGGGCGCCTAGCCCAGAAGTCACATCAGTAGACATCTGACGAGGGAAAAGGAAATGTTTATAGAGGGTGTGCATTTGATGTAGGTAGGATTCCTCTGCTAAAGTGAGAGTTGGAGAGTACTGCCCTCAGACTCAGGTGAGATAGGCCCTACTCTTTAGAAAGCTTCTCTGGCCCTCTTTCAGCCGCGCTGAACCACTCATAGGCAAGAGTGTTCCAGGGCCAAGAGGACATGCTCACCCAGAGCCACACTCTGGATACCAGGGACCGTGGAATTCCCTAACCAAATGGCCCCAGGCCTGCTTCCAGGGCCAGCGCGGGATCTTCCCATAGGTGGCCTGCACTGCCATTGGGGCCATCCCTAGGCCTGAAAGCACATGGAGTGAGCTTGTGGTGCATGCGGGTACGTGGCTCCTTGTAGCAAGGGATAAGACAGAGATTGGAGGAAAACAGGGTGAGCCCCCCCCCCACTACATTTGATCGTGGAATTTGATCTGAGTTCAGACTTGGCTTTCCAGGTTATTATGAAGACATGTTCATCAAGGTAGGATTTTTTTAACAGTTTGCCAGCCTGAGCTGTGACTTGGATTGACACACACGGTATGTGGGTCTCTGTTTGTCTTCTTGTCCTCCACCCGACAGTGTTAAAGGTAGGCCAAGAGTCCTCAGAAACCCTCCCAATCCTGAGATCTGTAGAGGTCTGGGTGACATTCCTGGCACCCTGTCCCCTCCAAATTCAGCTGATTTTCTCTCTGTTTTCTCTCCCCAGGATAGCTGCTGCCCGGGAAACGCAACCCGGGCGCCCCGCTAGGGCAACGGCCCCTGCCCTGAGGGCCGGGATCATGAAAGGCCTCGGTGACAGCCGCCCTCGCCACCTCTCCGACAGCCTGGACCCACCGCACGAGCCCCTGTTCGCAGGGCCTGACCGCAACCCCTACCTGCTGTCACCTACGGAGGCCTTTGCCCGCGAGGCTCGCTTCCCTGGCCAGAACACTCTGCCTGGGGATGGTCTCTTCCCCCTTAACAACCAACTGCCACCTCCAAGCAGCACCTTCCCCCGTATCCACTATAACTCCCACTTCGAGGTGCCAGAGGAGAGCCCCTTCCCCAGCCATGCCCAGGCCACCAAGATCAACCGGCTGCCTGCCAACCTCCTGGACCAGTTTGAGAAGCAACTGCCCATCCACCGCGATGGCTTTAGCACGCTCCAGTTCCCCCGTGGTGAGGCCAAGGCCCGTGGTGAGAGTCCTGGCCGCATCCGCCACCTGGTCCACTCGGTCCAGCGGCTCTTCTTCACCAAGGCGCCCTCACTGGAGGGCACAGCAGGCAAGGTCGGTGGCAATGGCAGCAAGAAAGGTGGCCTGGAGGACGGCAAGGGCCGGAGGGCCAAGAGCAAGGAACGGGCCAAGGCTGGGGAACCCAAAAGGCGTAGCCGCTCCAACATCTCGGGCTGGTGGAGCTCCGATGACAACTTGGACGGCGAGGGTGGCGCCTTCCGCAGCAGTGGCCCGGCCTCCGGGCTGATGACGCTCGGCCGACAGGCAGAACGCAGCCAGCCACGTTACTTCATGCACGCCTACAACACCATCAGTGGGCACATGCTTAAAGCAGCCAAAAACAACACCACTGAGCTGACTGCCCCACCACCCCCTCCCGCACCCCCAGCTGCCTGCCCCAGCCTTGGGGTGGGCACTGACACCAACTATGTCAAGCGGGGCTCCTGGTCCACTCTGACCCTCAGCCACGCCCACGAAGTCTGCCAGAAGACCTCAGCCACCTTGGATAAGAGCCTGCTAAAGTCCAAATCCTGCCACCAGGGTCTAGCATACCATTACCTGCAGGTGGGTCCCTCCCATGGTTAGGGGTAGGATAAGGAATGTTGGGGAGGGCCCCTGTTCTGAGACTTAGCTGGACCACAGATTTACTTGGAAAGTTGCATCATTCTGGGCTCCTGTGAGTAAACGCCTGTGAAATGGGTGTCTGGTGGTACCTGCTAATAAGGGGATTTCTTCCACTGGTCTTGCTTTCGGCAGACACTGATAGGTTTCTTCAGAGCCCAGCCCAGAGTAGGAACTAAAATGTGTACCTGCCCTCTAGAGGACAAATCTGGAAACCCTGCCCTCCACCCTCCTCAGAGGACCAATTGCATGGTGTTCTACATGCCAGCCTCCTGCCTGCTAGCCCCACCAGACCAGGGGCTCCTTGAAGACGGGGACCACATTAGAAGCAGCTGTGTGCCCCGAAGGCCCAGGACAGGGTTGGCAGAGAGAGAGTGCTCAGGAAATGTGAGAAGAGAGAGGGCTAGAGGAACAGATGGACATTTTAAGTGAACAAAGCTAGAAAGAAGACAGAGCCCTGATTATCAGGATGCTAGGAGAGAAAGATGCATGAACAGATAGTCACATCAGTGTGAGTTGAGTGTGATGGAGATCAGCATGGAGGGCTGTAGGAGGCCCTAACCCAGCTTCAGGGACTAACTTTCTTGTCCCAAGTGTTAACGTTTATTGAGGAACTTAATATGCACTTTGCAAAGCCACACTCCCGGATAGCAGCAGAAGGCTCAGCGACATCTCTGTTGCTGTGCATTCCCCTGGGGCCCTTGAGAGCAAAGCCAGGGGGTAAGAGCTGAGTGTGGCTCCTGGGGCAGAACCCAAGCTGTGGGTGGAAGTTACAGGAAGCAGATTTCAGTACCCACCAAGATGGAAGGGGCTGCTTCTGTAGGTAGTGAGCCCTTCGTCCCAGGGGGTGCGCCAGCACAGTCCTGGCCAGCCTTTGGGAACACATTAGATGCATTTTGAACCAGATGAACATCAAAGGCTGACAAAACCCCAAGCTCTTGTCATGCTATATAAAAATTCCAAAGATGGTGAGACTATGGGGGAAAAGCTATTTTTTTCAATAGAAAGAAAATGGAAATCTAGGCAGTATTTTATATATTTAAGGCTTTTGTGGCTCTCAATCCAATTCCTTAGTTTAGAAACATCAGAGAGGATGGTGTGTGACCTGTCTCCCTCTCAGAATGCTGTGGTTTGGTCTGATCATGTGAAAAATGCTTCAGAAACACATGAAAGGGAGTCTCTGCGGGCCCTGGGGTTTGTGCTGCCTGCTTGGGTCATGGGAGGTGGGGGGTGGGTGCTGGGGTAGCAACAGGTTTTAAGCAGGAATATCAAAGGGCACCTTCCCAAGGGGCAGGTGGAGCCAGGGAAGATGGACTAGCAAATGGCTTGGGAGGTAGAATGTGTGAGCCCTAGTGACCAGCTGGGCAGTTAGCTGGGGGGGTGGGTATGGGGGTCCTGGGGTGGGAGTCCCAGACTGGGACCATCCCTCAGCCGAGAACTGGTCACTGGCAATATGGGCATCTAGAAGGACATGGCATCTGTGTGCATTTTGCATGTGGTGAAGAATGGTGATGCTGTGTCCACTGAGAGATGTGTGTCACCTGGGCCTCTGTGATGAAGGGTATTGAACCTAGCAGGGGTGTGCACTCTGTATGTGTCGAGGCAAAGACGCGGTGAGATGGGGACAGGCTGCAGTGTGTCCGCAGTGCGGTGATGGCCGCTGTGTTCGGTGGGGAGTGGTGCGAGTATGTTCTGTGTTCACGTTGTGTACTTGTCCAGGGGCCCGCGGTAATGAGTGGCTGCTGTGGGCGTGTCCTTGGTGAGATGGGTGCGGGGAATATACGTTTGTTCTCTGAGATGTGTGCACCTGGCAAGGTGTGTTCACTCTGTGCTTGGGCTGAGAGACCTGGTAAGTGCTAAGATGTATGGAATCTTTCATCATGGGGTGAATGTCCACTGTGTATATCTGTCAGATGGGAAAACAGCCCTTTTTCCAGGTCACCACCTGGCTGCCAGCCCCTTCCCACCGGCTTCTGCACCCCTGTGCCTGGGCTTATCCACTAGTAAGGGATACAGGATGTCTGTTGGCTCCAAGGACCCTGCCCCTTTACTACTGTGCTGGGGTCCTCTGACCAGTCCTCCCTATCCCTACCCCCATCCTAGGACAGGATCTTGGTGCCAGGTCTGAGGGCCTCAGTCTGGTTTGATGTTCTCATCTGTGTAGTGGGATCATAAGCCCTCCTCTAAGATAGCAGGGTGACGTGATGGGAACACAGTGGGTGCTCAGAAAAGGAACTGCAGTGGGCAGCTACTGTGATCTTACAGCCTGAGCGGTTTTGCTGGGGCACACCCAGCCTGGGATCCGTGCAGAAATCTGAGGTCTGAGAGAGGCGAGGATTTGCTTGAGGCCACGCAGTGAAGCTGTGGCCGAGCCGGCTCTGGAACTCAAATATCCTTCCCAGCCCCCCCCCCCCCCCCCCCCCCCCCCCCCCCCCCCCCCCCCC